AACCAAACTCGCTTGAACAATACTGCCTATAATCGCATATCAGTCCCATATGGATTTTCGTCAATTTTGAGATAACAACGCTATCCACTATCAATTGGCATCCACGTTCATATTCCCCCTTATTCTGCGAGTCACGTGACTCTCTGTCACCGGTGAGGTGACAATTGTCACCTCGTGTGAGGTGACTCTCCATGTAAATCAAATGGAAAGTCACACGGATAGAAATCTCCTTATACCTTTTGGCAAATTTCCATTGCTGATTATTCATAAAATGTATAAGTCAACTAATAAGCAGACGCCTTGCAAAAAGTTAATAAAGATCATGTGTCAAATGAAATGTATAAGCGGTCACACATACCTTTTATGCATTCTAATAGGACCTATGTGGTTTGTCTTATGGAATGTATAAGGCTGATGCTTTGGCAAAAATGTATAAGTGAAACACATGAATTGAATAATTGATTTTCGTTTCGTGCACCTCACCGGTGAGAGAGAGTCACGTGACTTGCAGAATAGGGGGGATTATGTCATAAAACTATGGACTTTGATCATGAAAAATGTGAAAACAACATCAGGTCAGTTTGTCCCATCAAGCAAAATAATCGCATATCAGTCCCATCCTAAAATTTAATCGCCCTTAGTTCAAGCTAAAGATCTGCTTTTTGAATAGCCATATATTTCGTTGATATAACAAAATATGCAAGCTTCATTGCAACAGATTTTAACTTTAAAAAATTATCAATTGATTTACTATTATTTATCAAATATTTACATGGGGATTGCACTTCGTAACTTCGACTGCCATTTTCTCAATGCCTACTTTTTCCATATGGGACTGATATGGGATTATAGGCAGAATACAAAGAGATAAACTAGCCTTCGGCTAAAAATCTGTATAATAAAGGATAAAAAAAGCTTGAACAATACTGAACTACTTTTCACGGCACAATCACACGGAATTTTTATTGCTTTTCACTCAACCTAATTAACTTACAGTTTTTTTTATTTAGGTTACAAAAATCGAAATCCATTTATTCCATTTTCTATAAGATGACACATATCCGAAAATAAAACTTCTCTTTTACTTAATTCTAATTTAAACAGAAATCTCACTTCAAATTTACATACGTCGCATCGGTGGTAAGGCCACAGTTGTTACCCTTCACCTTTGCCCCAGTAGTTGGACCAGAAGTTCTTTGAGTTTTCCGTATCCAACCGCCACCACTGCATGATCCAATCCATCCAAATTGTTCTTGCATTCCGGTTCGTAGTACACTCCATTTGCGAAGTAGCTGAAAGACTTGTGACCGACATCGATAGCAATCGACAGCCCTCGGAAGCCTACATTTCGAATTTAAATGTGAACCGAGAAATGAATTACTGGGTTGAGTTCCTCTAGTACATTCAATTAGAGAATGTTTCAGAAATACACAGTCAAACAGCACATAATGTTGTGAATAACTTCAATGACAGTGTCCAGCAGTGCTCCCATTTTATGTAATTGACAATTCAATGCCTACGAGATTGTGCCGAAGGTGTGTCGATAGATGTGCTCAAGCTGTGCCGAATCTTCTTTCGACACACTGTGCTGAGTGACTTAACCCTTGATATTAAAATTCTCTCTGAAGTTTCTTAAAATTTGCTTTAGAATTCCCTGGAATTCTATTCACAGTCCGGATAAAAGTCTCTTCAAAACTACCTTGAAATTTACTTGTAGTTCTCCTTACGAGTTGCTCGAAAAACTTATCAAAATTACCTTGCACTTCTAGTCAAATTCAATTGGAATTAGCTTCAGATTTTTTTTAAAGAATTATTCCTGGAATTCCTCTACAGTTGGGGGAGGTTGTTCATTGAAACTTCCGGTCCGCTTCGTAGCATAGTGCTTACTAAGAGGTGCCAGGTGGTAACCCACTGATTACCTGACGATCGGCCAAATTTGGAAGACGTCTGCATTGAATTGTCTCACATTGTAATATTCCGCCCACTAATGTCACAATCAATTGCGAGTAGCTGAGCGGAATGGAGACAAGGAAAGCATTTGGTACAGGACCAAGTCTCTCCCGGCTGGCGCCAAAACAATGAACCTGGAAGCAACTGGATCAAGTTGTCATGGGGCACGAAATGATCCTGTTGCATGGCTTGGAGCTGTTGCAATCGAGGAAGGGGGGTTGGTGCTAATGTTTAATTTGTTTTTGTATAATTTCAGGTGTTAAGGTGGTTCGCTGCCTCTGGATAGTGGGTTTGACGGTGGTTCAGCAAGAATAATATTGAGACATACGCGAATGCAACAAACGTGTCAAATTAACTGCATTGGTAACGAAAACACAGAGGAGCGTACACCAGATATCACACACTAAGGTGATGGTAATAAGGTCGGTGATAATATGACATTTACACAAAAGCGGAAATCAAATCGGATTGGTCAACGTACCAAAATTCGAAACTTCGATTAAAACGTGGAATCTGTGCAGCACCAGTGGAGAACACTCAAAAGCTGCAGGTCTCATCAACCGCTGCCTGCGGTGTATAACTTGTGGCTGGTGGCCTCACAAATGGATCTCAGATGTAAATGTCATCAGATGCCGATAGCAATAGAAATTAAGTCTGCAGGCAAGCGCTTGATTATGAATTAAATCCGCCAGAACATCGCAGCAAAGGCAAATACTAAGGCGGCGGAGCGTCAACAAGGAAATTAAGCATGCCGATAGGAATTTGACCTGGGCCCAGGTCAAGCAGCTGCCCAGAATGGAAGTCTTTCACGTTGGCCCTGTGCACCTCTGGAGGTTCCCAGGTATTTGAGTACGAGGACGATGGACGTTGCCCCTTGGAACGGAATGAAAGCGAACAAACCTGATGTTGCACAACAAGCCGGCGTGTTTTTTTTTCAGCAAGACAACAAAATCCTCTATCTCTCTTCTTTATTCTTTTAATCTCTTACTATCCCTTAAAGAGATGAACTAGCCTCAGGCTAAAAATCTCTAAAATAAAGATTAAAAAAAAAAAAATCTTACTATCCCCTAATCGGACGCTAGTGGGACTAAAAAGCCTGCTAGTGAAAGGAAAGTCGTTATGCTATACGGTCTAGCATAGGCCACGACTAAATTTCCGTAGGTTCATGCCTGGCTTAAGTGCAGATCGGTAGGCAGCAGCCTGCCAGGGTGTGAACTGAGCAATAACAATAACAATATTCCTGGAATTCCTCTACAGTTCTCTTCAAATTCATTTAGCATTCTCATCAAAATTCTTTAGACGTTTCTTCAAAGAAGCAGAACTCTAAAATGTTTTCTAATTCCGAGGGGAGTGACTCTATCTGCGATGCAGAAAAGATTTTGTTTTGCTGTGGTTAGAAAGAGAATACTATAGAGAACATGAATACGAAATAAAAATCGAATTTGCTGTAAACATAGTTACGTTGGACACCCTATAATTACCACAAACGCGATTTTCGGTACGAGATGTCCACGTTTCATCCATTTATTAGATTTTGAAACATCGCGTTTAAATCCTCGATTTAAACAGGCCCGATGTTTTCTGAATCATCTTGCCCCTTAAATGCTGCACATTAGGCCTGGCCGTTTTGGTATGTGTCACGTATCTTCGATGTGAAACATATATCATATAGACAAGAACAATGATGGAGGTATATTAATCATTTTCCAGGATGCTTTCAAGAACTCACTGGGTTGGTGTTAGATTAGCTTAGGTTAGATTAGCTTAGATTAGATTTTCTGTCACAAATGTGTTTTTTTAAATTGAAGTCTGAAATAATCAGTCTGTTGCAATTGTGATTTGGCTTAGCTTTCCGAATGTAATAGAAATTTGAAATGAATTAGCAGTTTCAAACTATTTTCTGAGCTGTAAATTCGTGGCGCGGAATTGACGGATTCAAAAGGGGGATTTCTGCAACAGCCCTGCAAATGAAACAAGGTTGCGCTCCAAACAGCGGATGATGACCGCTTCAGACAGGGATGGCTCGCTCTTTGGATCATCGTCTAATACATTTTAATATGGAAAGCTAATGTTAAGTCCAATTAAATTTTCAGTTAATTCATTTTAAAAAAAGATAGATTATTGCTAGCATTTTCGTTATCAAACTTCAATACTTTCGTACCATTGAGCCACACTGCGTGTTTTCACTGAAGATTCACTAGAGTGCGCTTTCGGGCGCACCTTCGGTGAAAACATAGAGTGTGGCTCCATGGTGCAAAAATTTTGAAGTTTGATCTGGAGAATACTAGCATTGATCTAACTTTTTTAAGATTCATTAACTTAAAATACACTTAAATTTAACGTTAGTTTCCTAAATTAAAAAAAAATAATGTTCGATGGATGATTCAAGGAGCGATCCATTCGTCAGGATCATGAAATGAATTTATCCCAAATATAAGCGAATTTCCGATTGACGCTAATAGACTAGACACGTACAATGGGGTAAGATGGACCCCCTGGGCAAAATGACTTTTTAGCGTTTAAGATCTCTTTTTCGAGAATCTTTCAAGGAAAATGGCTTCTTCAGTGTCTGAACTAGCAATATAATAGTATTCAAAATCATCTTCCCCCGGAGGTTGCATCCCTTATCGTTTAACTCACGATGAGTTTGTTCAACTAGATATGTGGTTCTAATTGCCCATGATGACTTTCACGTGTTCGTGAACTTTGTATCATGCTGGAGGAGAAGACCACATGGGTGTTCCGTTCCGGCTTCGAAATGCGCACGGTGATCATCGTTGATCTTGCCGGGTGCGTGGCAGCAAATCGCAAAACAACGAAACAATGCACTTTTCGCAGAATTTTCTCACAATCACTTGAATCTAGGTATCACGTCACTACTGACTAGGTGGTGTAAATAAGGCAATCATGCATTATCAAGCATGCGGAGATAGTAAATCTTCCCCCGTTGAAGGTCCACCTTGACTGGCTTTGTGTAAATTAATGGTTACAGGTGTCTGAATTGGGACTGATCTCCTGTCTTATTTTTTTTTGTGGCTACATATTCTTACTCGGGGTAGAATCTCGATCCCTCGGAATCCACCGGGACCGAGCGGTCCCAATCCTCCCGGACCTGGGCCTAGTCCTAGTAGTCGGGGTGTAATGAACTCGACATCATCGGTTATAGCACGGGTAATTTTCGCGGCCGATGAAACGGAACAAACGAGCAACAGTACTGCAACTACCAGCTTCAACGGAGAGCATTTTCTTCCACCGTTCGCCGCCATGATGCTTCGAGCGGGAAAATGGAAAAACCACGCGGATCGGATCGTATTTACTAACGTACGTACTAACGCGATGTTGCGCGATTAATGATTTAAACAAGACTAAACGATCGCATCTGCCGGGGGGTTGTATTAATAAGCTTTCGGTGGGAAATTGTCGACTGGGCGGCTGGGAGATGCATCGTCAGTACCTTGGCCAGCAGGTAGGTAGATTGACTATTTAAAATGAAAACTAACTTCTCGCTAAAACAATATCCACTGTACATTAAGCCATTAGCCATGATATGTTCGATGGAAAATACTTCACAAAATCATAGAGCATGGCCTACTTAATAATGGAACAACATCATTTGGGTCTATTTGGGATTTGGATTAACGGATTTGAAAACGGTTTTCACTCAAGTGCATACTATTCCTTATATTATAAGAAAACAAATCATTCGTCGCGACTTCGAAGAAATTATCGAACTTAGCTGCCGTTTTGATGACTGTACATTTTACCTTCAGTTTCCTCTTCATAATTACCCAGTATGTATGTGATTTTTATTGGGCCTGAACTGGGGACCATTGGGCGGATTGAGGGTTTCCCGGCTGTAATGACAACTCGCAAGATTCGGAAAAAATGTCACCGGACCATCATGTGACTGGATGAAGGGCAGAATTCGCTTCTGGAGACATTCGGCTTTGTAAACCTTCGAGTTCATCATTTTCTCAGTGACGGAAACCTTTGTCTTTTGGCCGCAGCTGCAAATTCCCTGCCAGATCACATATTTGCGTGTGAATTTATCCGCAAAACAAATTTGAATCTTCCAGGGACACCTCCTCGAGCCTTCGCCTTGTAAAAGTTTTGGTCCTGGAAGCTGTCCGAAGTCGGTCTTTACATAGGTTTCATCATCCACCTACCGAACTTGGTCAGCAGGTTTTATACAGCTTTCGAGCACGGGTTCTAGCTACGGTATTCTGCTTGAGTGATCGGTTTTGTATGCCTGTAAGCCTTCGCGGTAGCGAATTCGCTGCACTGTACTACACACAGAGTTTAGACTACCGGAGTCGGTAAAATTTTACTGGGTTTTCAAACAGCAGAGTTTTCAGTTATCAATTGAGTACTGTTTGATTTAACTGAAAACTCCGCAAATCGCAGAATCTCTGAAATGTCAGAAATTACCGTTTTAGTCAGTAGAATAATTGCTGTCTTTGTCAATAATTTATTTGGTTCAGTAAATTAATGAATATTTTGGATACATTTTGAACGATTTTTATTCCGGAACTGAGGTTAACATGTTTAGTGGTAGTGGTAGTAGCCGTGATTCTGAACTAGTTCTGGTTGAGCGGTCAGCGCTTCCTGATGATTCAACCGGATTGTGGCTCTCTCGGTGTGCTGGATTGCGTGCCGAAGTCTGGAGCTCTATAAGGCAATTGTATTGAATGGTTTTGCTTCAAAATCGAACATCTGGAAGTCGATGCAGAAGTGCATAAACTGTCCAATTTTGTCGCAGTTTCTGCACTTCTGCATCGACTTCCAGATGTTTCATTTATTTTCACAATGGTTTGCTTCTTCACGCGGATATTTCCGTTGTCAAGTCAGCGAGGTAGAATGGAGGAAGATAGCGTATGTAATTTGATTTACTGGTATGATCAGCAATTTTCAGTAAATTTCAGTAAAAAACAATGAATACTGAAAACTCGGTACTCCCTTTTACTGAGCTGAGTGATCGGTATTTTTTGTGATTTACAGTTCGAAAACTGTAAAAAAGACTGTAATTATCACTCAAATCGCGATCGGACATACCGGGGTTGCTTCTGATGGACCTCACGACCTTTCCATGGAGCTGACGATTGGCGGTTCCACTTCGGCGTTTACTTTGAGGCTTCCGATTTGTCGTCAAGGTTTTCCTGTGCGTTTTGGGCACGTGCCATACGGTGTTGCCAGCTTGGACGTGGACCACGATGAATGTTCTACACGCTAAGAAAAAAGTACCCAAAAGTAAGGTCTATTCACTCATCTGGGCACTATAGTGCAGGAACCCAAAAGTAGGTTAAGCGGGTCAAAGTATTTTTAATTTACTTGTGAGCAATTCGTATGGAAATTTTCTCTAGCTTTCTTCCCAAAAGTAAGTTAATTGTACCCAAAAGAAGGTAAATATGATTATACTCAACGTTAGGTTCCCACACTTAACAACCCCTGTTGGGTGGTTTTGTTCCTCCGTTTTTGCCAACATTAGAAGGAGAAAAGGAGACAAACTAGTCAAAAGTAGGTAAAAGTGAACTGACCGTCAGTGGGTTGGGGAAAGTTTCCTCTATCCGATGATGCTGTTAATTTGCATTCGGTTGGCGATGAAAGAACCACAGACAAACAGACGTAACTCTTTGAAAAAGTTATCCTTGAAAACATAGTATCTCAAAACATAGAAGCTCAGTAACGACATCTCTCGGGCTTCTCGCGGAAAACAAGCTAGCTCGCTAACTCGCAAACAATATTGCATTAAAGTTCTATAGAATATATAGAAACCAGCGTTGCCAGATTGTTTTCAAGCTTATCGGTATCAAATGTTTAAAAAATCGGTATTCATCGGTATTCACTATTTTAATTCGTTTTATATTGTTGCCTTTTTGTAGGCGGAAATTCAAACCTTTGGACTAAGAACGAAGTAGTAAGTCGGAAGAAATTTCCGGGAAGTTTGCAGGAAATTCTTAGAAAAACATCCGATGAGGATCTTCCAAGACAAATATTGAGAAACTTCTGACGAAAACTTTAGAAACTGTTGGAAAAAATCAGATAACACACCCAGAGGAAACCAGAAAAGTTTTGGAAATTGGAAGGTAATTCCAGGGGATGTCATAAGAAGCTCGGAAAAACCTTCCAATAGAAGTCGGAAAAAAAACCTACGGAGAATGACTTATGGAGAAACTTCCAGATGATGAAAGAAACTTCCTGTAGAAGATGGAACAAACTTCTCGGAGGCGCTGGGAGAAACTTGCTTAGGTAGATTGGAAGAAACTTCTGGAAGAAGGCGGAAGCCAGAGGGCTTACGGAACAGAAGGAGAAGTTGGGAAAAACCTGGAAGAAATAGATTTCGATGTTAGCGATGTTAGCTACATTCCCTGAAGTTCCATACATGATCAAATGATCCAGCAAAATTCCTGATATTTATAAAATATCTCTGAAATCCCACAATTTTTCGGAAGTTTTCAGAACATTCCTGAAATGTACTTCGGAATATTCCTTAATTCCTTAGAACTCCTTGAAAGTTCTAGCAATTCTCCAAAAATTAATGGGGCTGTTTTGAAGTTTACAAAGTTTTCATGAACCTCTGGGAACTTTGCTGTTTTTGGAAATTCCCTGAGTTTCTTGGAACTCCTTCAAAGGTTAATTTTTTTTTTCATGGATTGGTGTGTCCAGATGTTCCAGAGCTTTCCTAAAGTGACCTCAATTCTCCTGAACAAATGGAAGTGTCATGAAAACCATTATGTTTCTATAAAGTTCTTTGGACTTGTGAAGTTTCCAAATTATTTCAGATGTTTCCTTCAGTTCACGGGAGTTCTCTGGACTTTTCTGAAATTCCCGGGTTCTCGAATTTTAACAGCAGTAAATGAAACTGTCTTTAATTTATCGAAACTTACCACCCTTACATATCTTTAAACTTACCCCAAAGTCCGAACTATTCTGCAGTTTCAGAATTTCTGAAAAGATCCTGCAGTGTTCCTGAAGCTAATGGAACCGCAATAAATCTCTGGAAGCAATTCTGAAGTTCCGGGGAAGTTGAAAAAACTGACGCGAGAAGACGAAGTAGAAGGCGACCTGCGGAACCTTCGTAGACTACGAGGACGAAAGAACCTTTCAAGGGCAGCCAGAAGAAGCTTCCAAGAGAAGTCGAAATCGATTTCCGAAAGGAATTGTAAAATAACCTCGAAAATAACTTACAGGGTAAGGTGGACGAAAATTGCTAGGGAAAGTTGGAAGAAACTTCGAAGGGAAGATTAGAGAAATTTCACGAAGTTGAAAAATTAACATTTTGATGGATTTATTTGTTCACTGAATAAAAGTATTTCTCGATTTATATGAAATACCAGGATGCGCTATCAGCTGTTTCTCGACCATTGGGAGCCAAAAAAGGCAAGGAAATGGAATCATTTGTCGAAAGAATATCAAGCAGAATACATTTTTAAAGAATTTTTTTAGGGCTGGCTCAAAAATTTGAATGTTTAAAAAGCCTCTCACAATAGTTTCAGTGCGAGCGAGAATTATTTATTTTGATTATTAAAAAAATCGGTATGAATCGGTATTAAAACTCAAAAATCGGTATTCTGAGTTACCTTATCTGTACATCGGTATCAAGTTTGAAAATCGGTATAAATACCGATAAATCGGTATATCTGGCAACGCTGATAGAAACGTCAAAGTGATCCGATGCCAGCGCTGCGGCGAGTAGTTCGCGGAACTCATAATATTCAAATCAACCGTTAAATGCGTGCACGAAGATACACAATGAAGAGTTACGTCTGTTTGTCTGTGAAAGAACTATAAAAGCATTGTTTATAAATGTTGATGGTACCTTTTCAGTTAGAGCCTCAATGCAGAAAAGGAAGAGGGGAAAGTACAAAAAACCAGAAATGTCAGGTGTATTATGCAAAGAATCTTCAACTAGATGACCGAAATGTCTTCACATGTTCAAATTTACTACAGGAATCTGGTAATATTCAATTTTTTTTTAAGCTAATACCCCGTACAGACTATGGTTTATATCATGTAATATCGGCTGTCTTGCATTGAGCACTCATACATCTAGTTTTCACTGAAAATCTTATGTATGATTGCTCATTGCAAGACAGCCTATAACTTTGTCTGTGCTATAACGTTTGCATTTAAAACACACTGACGAAACTACCCATGCAGCATCAATCATAGTAACCCATGAGTCAGCAGACAAAATTTGACAGCTCTATCAGTCGAACTTCAACCGTGATGGCAAAAACAGTGAAGCAACTCCGTTCAGAAGTGTGCGCGTTCAAAGAACGGCACCCCGTCGCGTCGAAAACGGACATCGTGCGGCACTTTGTGGATGCCGGATACGCC